GAAATTTTAAACAAGAAACTAGTGGCGCCAACTAAGGTTGAACGACAGGTTGTTGTTAAGTATCTTGACATGATATGGTCCAAGTTTCCTTATTCAATATCTGATTATATGTGGAGACATGGAAGGAATTGGAATAAATATTCCTTGTGATGTGTTTCAAGAGTTAAATTAGAACAGACTCTACTCTCCTAATTAATCCCTGCTGAGTCAGGCATATCTACATCTACACTCTTCAAAGATGATAGATTCTCTTTTCAAAGATGATAGATTCTCTTTTCAAAGATGATAGATTCTCTTTTCAAAGATGATAGATTCTCTTTTTAAAGATGATAGATTCTCTTTTTAAAGATGAAAGCTTTATTGGATTTCTACACAAGTCCAGACAAAGAAAGTTGTTGTTACCAAAGACAAAATGGGGCATCAAAGTCATAGTTCTGACTACGGCAAGAGTTCCACAAATAAAACATTTCTTCTGAGACTTAAATGAAGCAAAGAAGACACAAATATACAAGTTGATCAGATGATTCTGCAAAAATGCAAGCTTGATAACATGAGTTGTTACACTGATATCCAGAGGTGACCCTGGAAATAAATGATGAAGTGAAGGAAGACCTAGTTCACCACTTTGAAGTCAAATGAATATTGCATCAATATTTATGCATTCATAAGAATATCATTTACACAATAGACAATGCATTACATTGATACATATGATTGCATTCAAACATAAGGTTTTGCAGATCTTCATATGAAAAAAGAAGATTCATGATGAACAATACCTTACAAGAAGAAAGTAGAATACAAAACCTCGAATACAGGAATCACTCCAACATCTGAAGAATAGATGGACGTAATCCACAAAAACAGCCTTATCTTAAGATTGGGGCATGTTACCCAATCAACATGTTATTTTGAAAAATAATGAGAAAACGATTTCCATAGTTTCTCATTCAATCTTTTCTAGAAATGAAATTATTGAAAAGTAAGAAAACAATTTCCTTAGTTTTTTACTTAGTAAACTATTTCCCACATCTGTAAGTCCTACAGTGTATGATGTTTCCAAAAAGCCTTCGGGAGCTTTTTGATGTTTTCAAAGCCTTAGGGTCATCTGTAAGTCCTACAGTGCATGATGTTTCCAAAAAAGCCTTCGGGAGCTTTTTGATGTTTTCAAAGCCTTAGGGTCATCTGTAAGTCCTACAGTACATGATGTTTCCAAAAAGCCTTTGGGAGCTTTTTGATGTTTTCAAAACCTTCGGGTCATCAGCATTTCCAGAAGAATTCATAATGAGAAGAACTCATCTGAATAAGAAAGAAGAAGTTCATAATGAGATGAACTTGTTCAACCTTTTGCTCGAATTCATCACTCGATGGATCAACATTACCAGAAAGCTCATAATGAGAAGAACTTATATGAAGAAGGAAGAAGAAGTTCATAATGAGAAGAGCTTGTTCAACCTTTTGCTCAAATCCATTACTCGATGGATCAACTTTTCCAGAAGAGTTCATAATGAGAAGAACTCATCTGAAGAAGGAAGAAGAAGTTCATAGAAGAAGAACTTGTTTAACCTTTCGTTTGAATTCATCATTCGGTGAATCAGCAGTGCCAGTTAGAGTTTATAATGAGAAGAACTCATCTGAAGAAGGAAAAAGAAGTTCATAATGAGAAGAACTTGTTCAACATTTTGTTTAAATTCATCACTTGATGGATCAACTTTTCCAGAGAAAGTTCATAATGAGAAGAACTCATCTGAAGAAAGAAGAAGAAGTTTATAATGAGAAGAACTTGTTCAACTTTTTGCTTGAATTCATCAGCATTTCCAGAAGAAGTTCATAATGAGAAGAACTTGTTCAACTTTTTGCTTGAATTCATCAGCATTTCCAGGTCGAGTTCATAATGAGAAGAACTCATCTGAAGAAGGAAGAAGAAGTTCATAATGAGAAGAATTTGTTCAACCTTTTGTTTAAATTCATCACTTGATGGATCAACTTTTCCAGAGAAAGTTCATAATGAGAAGAACTTATCTGAAGAATGAAGAAGAAGTTCATAATGAGAAAAGCTTGTTCGACCTTTTGCATGACTCTATCATAGAAGGAGATATATCATCATCAGCATTTCCAGAAGAAGTTCATAATGAAAAGAACTCATCTGAAGAAGGAGAAGAATTTGTTCAACTTTTTGCTAGATTACATCACAGAAGAAGATAAATTATCATCCCCAGAGGAAAAGTTCATAATAAGAAGAACTAATCCCAAAGAAAAACTTGTTCAACATTTCCGAGTGAAGTCAAATAAAAAAAACTTATTGTCTTTTCATCTTTTCTCTATTCTCGTTAACACAAGAATGAGAAAAGAGGGGCAGCTGAAGACACTAGTTTTTTTTCTCTCTCATTTGCTTATATTATTTATTATTATTATTATTATTATGTTATATTATATTTATTAAATAATTAATTAATACATTGCAGGCCCAAAACCATAAGCCCGATTACAAACCAGACTCGCCCAAACAGACTGGCCCAAACCTAATAACAAACCCTAAACCCTCTTAGGGTTTCAGCATCATCTCTCGGCCGCCTTTCTTCTCAACCGTTGGATCTGGCCTTGATCCAACGGTCCCCAGATGTGCCAGAGGAAACCCTAGGGTATCATCACCCTAGGGCCACGTCGTTGCTTCCCTTACTGCTGCCACCCCGCCGCCTCAGGAAGTTGCTGCCACCGCTTCAACAGAACGGTCCAGAAGATCCACCTGCCCCCCACACGTCGCGGCTATGGGATGAGTCACCACATAGCTCGGTGACTCATCGAACTTCCCCCTCTGGACCGGTTCGAGCATGGCTCTGTGGTGGTTATAAAAGTCACTGGATCCTGCAAAACGAAAGGGAGAGACAAACACAGAGGAGGGGGAGAAAAACAGAAACGAAGAACCCAAGAGCAAAGGGGACAACAACACCAACAAGCGATCATTCGGAAATAACGGAAGAAAAGAGAAGAAAGAGACTTACCTTTGAAGCCTATTCTGCAAACGGAAGCCAAACGTCGTTGAATTGTCGTTTAATCGAAGGTAGAACCCTTCGGTTTTTTTTAGATTTACGTTTAGTGGAAGAGTTTTAGACGAAAAAAATGTTAGATTTGGGCTTTGAGGAAATAGAGCTTTGATTTAGGCCATTTTTCCAGAATTCCATCCACCATGTACGGTGGTCGGCGGTGGTGTCGGCGTCGGAGTACGTCTGCCGGCCGGAATTGGACTCCCTCCGATGGAGGGTTTTAGAGAAAAGGTAGAGAAAATATTTTTTCTCTCAGCTAGAGAGAGAAGAAGAAGAGAAGAAATGAGGATGCTGGCCCTTCGGGCCAGCCGTTTAGGGTATTTATACCCGATATAAAACGACGCCGTTTCATGATGAAACGGTGCATTTTGGGAAGAGGGTAAACCTTGTCCGCAATACACCAAGTTTGTAATCAATACAATTTAGTCACTGAAATTGATTTCTGATTATTTTAGTTTAGTCTTCTAATTTTATTTTATTTTAATTTAGTCCTTATCAGCATATATATATATATTTAGGGTAAATATCAAATTTAGTCCCTCATAGTTTAGTAATTATTATTTTAATCCCGTATTATGAATTATGGTTAAATTACACTTTTAATGCCCATCTTTTATATATTTCGAATTAGGACTCTAGTTTTATAATTTTACATTTTAATCATTAAATTTTCATTTTTGACTATTTATTTTTAATATTTTACATTTTAATACTATATTTTTAATTCCTTTTATTTTAATCATTATTTGCAATATTATTTTATTATTATTATTGCTTTAATTATTATTTCATTGTTATTATTTTTATTATTTATATAAATAAATATATATATATATAATAATATTTGTTTATTTATTCTATTTGTTTTCTATTAAAATCCTATATTTCATAAATTACTTTTAATAATCATATTTTAATATATATTTATTTTTCAATATTAAGAAAATGACTGTCTTAAAACACCTAGAAGTCTGTTTTCTGATATTTTTACTAAATATCATATTTTTATAAATCCTATATTAACTTTTAATAAATGTTTTATTTATTTTTATATCAAAGAAAAGAGTTGTCTTAAAGCACCTAGAAGCCCTTTTCTGATATTTCTAAATAAATAAATATCTTATTTATATTAATATATTTTCATAAAATCATAAATTTGAAATAAAAAAATATTATAAGTTAATTATATATTTGAATTTTTAAATTTCTAATGATAGAGACAATTTATAATTAAAAAGTATCAATTTTGGGCGTTGTAGGGGTGCTAATCCTTCCCTAAACGTAACCGACCACGAATCCCTTTTTATTATTAAAAAGAATGAATTTTTGGTTAAAACGCAGATCAGTTTATTTTTTAATTGATGTTTTCTTAAAAACTCTTTTAAATGATGATTTTTAGGTATTCGACCTACCTGACCCAAAAGGCCGATGGCGACTCCCAAATTATTTTAAAAACTATTTATTCACATCACTTTTCTCGCTAAGTAAAAAATTCGTGCCCGGACGAAAACCGGTTACGACACATGGGTTTCATATTGTTTAGTGTTTTCGAGCTTTTCTTTTACTTGGGTTTTACGTTAATACTCTTTCAGAATCCTCGGTTGTTTATTCATAGGAAAAACTTTGGGGAATGCTCAATTTTGTTGCTTTACTTGCTGGAATGGAGTTCTCAGGGTTTATGATTTTGGGTTTCTTTAATCTGGGGTTTTAGGCTAATACTCATTTTCCGGTTATTGATGAGTATTCAGGTGAAAACAATGGGAAATGTTCAATTTTGATGTTTTATTTACTCGAATGGAGTTCTCTGTGTTTATTATTTTAGGGTTTTTTTTGGGGTTTAGATTAAGGATCAGGGGTTTTCTTACTCGAATAGAGTTCTTAGTCTATTGAAAAGACGCAGCAGCTCGAACTGGTTGTCTAGGAAAACAACATTTCCTGTGTATGTATTTGGAATAGCTCCCATGGTGAAATTTTTGATGGAGTACATGGATAAAGCTGGGTGTAGGTTAGGTGATAATTTTATCAAAGCAGTTCATTGCGAACAACAAATGGCTGGAGGCTATCTTCGTGGCAATGGAGTAAGTTTTTTTTACCTATTTTTCTTTATGCTAGAAATGATGCTTTGAGTTAGTCCAATTCAAGAGCTTATCGACCACGGTAATTTGGCTGTAAAAGAGTGTGATTACTTAATCCGTTAATACAGAATGATTGATGGTTTATTTAATGCAATTGATTATCCTATAATTTTTTTTATTAATTTTCGTGTGTTTCTAGACAGTGGTGTGTAGCAGCCATATGAAAATTCAAGACGAAGTCAATCAAGTAGTTATACATGAGCTTATTCATGCATATGATGAATGCCGTGCTGCAAATTTGGACTGGTCAAATTGTGCCCATCATGCCTGTAGTGAGGTTTGTCAAACCAAAAACTGTCGTAGTTTAATGCCTGCATTTGTTTTCTACTTGTAATTGGGCTCCCTCGGTACATTTGGTAAGTAGATGTCTTAAAATTTTCTTCTATTATTGCAGATTCGTGCCGGACATCTAAGTGGTGATTGCCACTACAAACGAGAATTGCTGCGGGGTTTTATGAAGATAAGGGGCCATGAACAAGTGAGTTCTTTTCCTCTTATTTTGTTTAATCATAAAATTTTATGTTTGAATATGTCTAAATTGGTACTTTGAGTTTAAATAAGTGTACGAATGTCAGCAAGATATCATTCATCTTATTTTACTCGTGCATTTCCTCGAAATTACGGTTAGGTTAATCTCTAGGTTTTGTATTAGCTGGTTTTATTGCAAAGGTTTGTTTCTTCAGCAATAGGATTAGGATCCTATAAAATGAACTCCCAAGTTGGAACACGAATCCGAATAAAAATTAAGGGGTTGAATTTTCAAGAGGAAGATGAATTGGCTCCTCTATGCATAATCGATTCATCTTGCGAAATATATCTTGGACCGGCCCTTCACATCTACTTCTTCCTAGTCTGCACTGCTCCAACTCTTGATTTTTTATTAATGTATTTGTGCCTAATACATTTTCGGAAACTGATATAGGAATATGATATCTAAGGACCCTACAATATATGGAAAACCTTATAAAATCTTTATTTCCAGTACCTTTCTTCAACACTCGGAACAAGTCCCGGTCCCCGAACCGCCCCACAACACGATCAACAATGATGCTCAAGTAGAATACAAATCAAGGGTCGCTGTTGTTGGAAGTGGCAACTGGGACAGTGATGCTGCTAAGCTCATTGCTTCAATGTTGAATAATCGGATAAAGAAAACAGAAAAAACACAAGAATTTTAACGAGGTTCAGCAATGTGCTTACGTCCTCGGTATCCTAAGCGGCGCTAGAATTTTATTCAATGTCTCATAGGTTTTGGTTACATCTTCTTTTATAATAAATAAACCCTGATACATATTTACAAAAATAACCCTGTATCGTACCTAATATTTTTTCATGGTATATTTAATTCACAATGGTCAAAAGGTAAATTACTTTTACCATTCAAACTTAAACATACATTATTTTAGTTTGAAATATACAAAAGTATATAATTATCTTTTAATATTCAAAGTTAAAAAGATAACAAATATATTTTTAAATTGACTTATTAAAAGAGTAATTATCCTATTAATATTCAAATTAAAAATTATCTTTTAATTTGCCGTAGTCAAAAGTACTATGAATTTAATATAAATATTAAATACATTAATTAAATTCACACTTTTTCCTACAAGTACCACTCCAATGCTCAGCTTCTCCGAGTTTATAACATCTTGAGAGCAATGTCAGATGTATTTGCGATGCTGCGTGCAATGGCTGTGAGTCTTCGAACCCATTTGATGTTGTTATAGTGAGGCTCGAGATTTGGTCGCACAAGCCACGATGCTCCAATAAACATTAATGGGGATATCAGCCCTAGCAGTCAACTACCAGCGCCGGAACATTCTCTGAGATGTACGTCGGCAAAAGCTCCTTAAACTCGATGAGACGTCGAGTCGTATCTATCATTGTTGCGATTAAGTTGGTGAGTGCATCTAACTGGGGTTGCAAATGAGCTGTGGATTCCATAACCGGTGGCAGACCAGTTGTCTCAAGATGGCCATTCATCTTGCAAGTTGGTGTTGAAAAGTCGAAGATATGTGGTGCATAAATGCACCGAAAGTAGCTGGAAAATGTTGAATTTTATGACAAGAGATAATTGCAATTTAGTCTCTGTACTTTAGGGTATTTATAAAATTAGTCCTTAAGCTTCAACTATAAATACCCTAATCCATTTAGCTTTAAAACCATCTCAAATCATTATAGCTTTCTCCCAATACTAGAGAATTTAGAGAGTTTCTTGAGAGTTGTTTTTTCTTTTTTATCAAGAGAAAATTGTCATTTTTTTCTACTTGTTAGATCGAGAGAAGTTGTAATTCCTATTTTCTTATAATGAAATTCTTCTACCGTTGTCTGTGGTTTTTACCCTATATTATTTAGGGGGTTTTCACGTAAAATTTGTGTCTTCTTTATCTTCATTTTTATTTTCTCAAATTATCAGTTGCGATTTTTCTCTATCTCATAGCCATATTCCGTAACAATTGGTATCAAAGTCATATTTGAGTGTGCAATATCTACTTATTGTCTTTGTAGTTGCCACCAAAAGGTTGATCATCCAACATAAGAAAGTAAGAATTTATTAACCATTTTTTGAAGGTTCCAGAGAACTATTCACGATAGTGAAATAGTGGGCGCTATCCGCAAAAAAAGCTATGACAATAAAATTTTATATTGAAAAAATCAATTGGATAAATTTCTCATTGTGGAAATTGAAGATGAAGGCCATCATGAGGAAAGACGGTTGTCTAGCAGCTATGAGTGAAAGGCCGGTAGATTCACAGATGACAATAAATGAATCGAAATGGACGGGAATGCTATGATAAACTTTTATCTAGCATTAGCAGATGAAGTATTGTCAAGCATCGAGGAGAATAATACAACTAAGGAGATATGAGATCATCTCACCAAATTGTATGAGACCACATCGTTGCACAATAAAATTTTCCTTAAGAGGAAATTGTACACTCTCCGGATGCCATAATCTACTTCAGTGACGGAGCGCTTAAACACGCTGAACACTTTATTTTCTCAGCTTACATTCCTAAATGTATAATAGGAGAACAAGAACGTGTTGAACTTCTACTTCAAAGTCTGCCTGATTCGTATGATCAACTCATCATCAACTTGACAAACAGTAATGTCACCAGTCTAGTCTTCGATGACATTGCAATTGTTATTCTACAAGAAGAAAATCGGCGCAAGAACAAGAAAGACAGACAAATAAATCTGCAACAAGCAGAAGTGTTGACAACGATGAGAGGGAGATCAACAGAACGTGGCTAAAGCAGCAGTCACAAACATTGTAGATCAAAGTCTAGAAGCAAGAAGAATTTAAAGTGTTACAACTGTGGAAAGAAGGGTCACTTGAAGAATGATTGTTGGAGTCTAAATAAAAACTCCAATCCACAAGGCAATACCGCAAACACTTCAGATGATGGAGATGCTCTATGTTGTGAAGCGTCAACCACCATGGAAGGTAGAAAACGATTTGCAGATATATGGCTCATTGATTTAGGAGCAACATATCACATGACCTCAAGAAGAGAATGGTTCTATCATTATGAACCTGTCTCACGAGGATTTGTGTATAGTTGTAATGATCATGCCTTAGAGATCATTGGTGTGAGAACCATCAAATTGAAGATGTATGATGTAACAATTAAAGTTGTTCGAGATGTGCGGCATGTGAAAGGCCTGAAGAAAATTTATCATCATACGGATTGTTGGATAATAATGCAAGCAAACTTGTACATGCTGAAGGGAGAGACTTTACTAGAAGCAAAAGCCTTTGTTGCCTCATTTAGTTCAGATTCTGCAATGTTATGGCATCAGAAACTTGGACACATGTCAGAACAAGGAATGAAAGTCCTTGTGGAGAAAAAGCTACTTCTAGGCTTAACAAATGTATCACTTACTTTGTGTGAGCATTGCATAACAAGTAAACAACACCGGTTGAAATTCAACACGTCAAATTCTAGACGCAAAAGTGTTCTAGAATTGGTTCATTTTGACGTATGACAAGCACCAGTTATATCCCTAGGCGAAGCAAAATAATTTGTCTCATTTATTGATGACTACTCCAAAAGATGTTGGGTGTACCAATTAAGAAGAAGTGTTATGTGTTTTCAACTTTCAAAAACTTCAAAGCGCGAGTGGAACTTGATTCTGGAAATAAGATCAAGTGTTTTATAACAGATAATGGAGGAGAGTACACAAGTGAAGAATTTGATGACTTTTGCAGGAAAGAATGTATAAAAATACAGTTCACAATGGCGAACACTCCTCAATAAAATGGAGTGGAAGAGCGGATGAACATAACCTTTTTAGAAAGAACTAGAGCAATGTTGAGGACTGCAGGCCTAGAAAAATCATTTTGGGCAGAAGCAGTCAATACTATCTGTTATTTGGTGAATCGAGCTCCATCAACTGCAATAAAGCTGAAGACACCAATGGAGATGTGGATTGGTAAACTAGCTAATTATTCAAACCTCTATGTATTTGGAAGTATTGTGTACGTGATGCACAACTTCCAAGAAATTTCAAAGTTGGATCTAAAATTCAAGAAATGTAAATTCTTAGGGTATGCTGATGGTGTAAAGGGGTATCGCTTGTGGGATCCCACTGCCCGCAAAGTGATTATCAGCAGGGATGTTATCTTTGTAGAAGATAAACTACAAAGAAAAGAAAACGATGATAGCGCTGAAAAGTTAGAGACTACGTAGATATATGTGGAAAAAGAGGTTGAACAAGGAGATTCTTCTGAAGCAGAACCAAAACATGATGAACAAAAACCCAAAAGTTTTGAAGCTCCAACAACTCGTTAATCAGATTGTGTGAGAAGACGTCCCAATTGGCACTCAGATTATGTTATACAAGGAAATGTTGCATACTGCCTTTTAACAGAGGACTAGGAGCCATCAACATACCAGGAGGCAATAAATAACTCATATGCTTCACTGTGGATGATGGCGATGCAAGAAGAAATCGAATCTCTTCATAAAAATAATACATGGGATCTTATGCCACTACCACAAAGAAGGAAGTCAATTGGTAACAAATGGGTCCTAAAAATCAAGCGAAATGGTGACGATTAAGTTGAGAGGTATCGTGCAAGAATGGTAGTCAAAGGATATGCTAAAAAAGAAGGTATTGATTTTAATGAAATATTTTCACATGTGGTTCGACTAACAACTGTTCAAGTAGTCTTAGCAATGTGTGCTACATTGAACTTACATCTAGAGCAGCTAGATGTTAAAACAACTTTTCTTCATGGAAATCTTGAAGAAGAGATTTACATGCTCCAGTCTGAAGGTTTTGAAGAAGACGAAAAGAAGAACTTGGTTTGCAGGTTGAACAAATCTCTGTATGGTCTAAAGCAGGCGCCGAGGTGTTGGTATAAGAGATTTGATTCATTCATTATGTGCATTGGATACAACAGACTTAACGCAAACACTTGTGCTTATTTCAAGAGGTTTTGTGATAACGATGTTGTTATATTGCTGTTGTATGTGGATGACATGTTGGTTGTAGGACCAACAAAGATCATGTTGAAGAATTGAAGGCACAATTGGCTAGGGAATTTGAAATGAAAGAATTGGGATCAGCAAACAAGAT